TTGACCCAGCTGGACAATTCTACAACCCCTGGCCAGTCGGGAATAATAAGAAAGGCCATGAGAGGGAAACATAATACATCTTCCACTAGAGACTTGCAGCCTAATAAACTTTATAAAACCCAGCTGTCAGTCAAGTTGCTGGTACTCCATCTTTCCAGTGCCTGTCTAGTGACCCCTGCAGGAACGAGGATGGCCGTACAGAAGAGATTTGGCATAATGTTAGGGTCAACTACAAGTGATGCTGGAGTTTGGTGACTGGAACTCCAGATTTGTAATTTGGCCCGGTAAGGAAAAGAGAAAGCTAATCACACTGTGCATCTTTTTTCCCTACCAAGCTTTAAAAAACTTGGGGGCATTTCCAATAGGGGAAACAGCCCTCCATAGGAAAATAAGAGGCACATAGTCCCTACCAAAACAATCCAAATCCAAATTCTCTATCAAGGAAACCCAGGTTCAACCCAGAACTTGTATGCAAGGCATGCAGTTTGACATTCAAGTATCTACTTGTGCAGTTGGGAAAATATTGGGCTTTTAAAACTATGGCAGGGTCAGGGTGTGGAAGAAGTGACAAGGTCTAGTTTTGTCCAAAGGGCAGGGCTATTTTGGGGCAGGAACGCACAGGAACGGAGTTCCGGCTGGCTCCTGAGTTGGCCACACCCAGCAGGAACTCATTAGCATAATAGGCCACACCCAACAGCAGAAACTCATTAGAATTGGCTACATTAGGGGTGTGTGGCCTAATATGCAAAGGAGTTCCTGCTACAAAAAAAGCCCTGGGTTTTGACAACAGACAAGGTAAACAGAATAAGAAGCAAAAGGGGTGTGTGGCTGGATGACCACACTTCTGGTAACATGGGGTGCGGCCTAATATGCTAATGTGCTGTGCTGTCAAGGGTGTGGCCTAATATGCTAATGAGTGTCTGCTGTTGGGTGTGGCCTATTATGCTATTATGCTGGGCTTTTTCTACAAAAAAAGCCCTGACAAAGGGAATGGGCACTTGGCAGGGCACAGAAGCTCCAGGTGGTAGAAGTCCAAACTCCCTTCTTTGGCATTTCTAACTTGGCATTTCTAACCAAGCTGAGCAAAACCACTGCTTGCAGAATTCTTGTTCTCTGCTTTTGACCCTGCAAAGCTATGAGTTGGGACTGATACTGCTGGGACAGCTAGCCCATTGTGCTACACCCTGGGATGTTTGACAGGCTTCAGAAGGGCATGAGAGACACTTTTGAACCTCGCAGCGCACAGATAACAATGCTGGTATCATGCTGAACTCTCTTCTGGCCTTCCTTGGCAAGAGGAAGAGGTCTGTACGGGCTACATAGTCCATGCCACTGGCTGTTTTCTGTCTATCCAGGTTGGGGGAAAGGGGACTTTGACTCTTCCCATGCATATTTATTTAGAAAATTCTTATTCCACCTCTCCAGGGAGCCTGCCCAGGGCAGCTTACCAAATAAAACACAACAAGAACACAAAACATTTAACGCTATTAATTAAAATCTAGAATAGAAAAACCCAACTCCGTGCTTCCAATTTAATACGGAAGCATTCAATCAAGAACTCTGAAAGTTACCACGAGGACATGAGGCTTATAAATGGCAGTTCCCTTTATCCCCTGATCTCTGGAAGTTCTACCAAGTGCACGTCTAGTTTCTGAACTTCCAGCATCTTGAAGCTTACAGCCTGATCCTATGTATGTTAACTTGGCAAAGAGGAGAATGGTGCTTATTCCAAGCAAGTGTTCGTGTTGATTTCTACCTTGTTCTTCCTCCAAGGAAAAGCACGATGACGCTGTGAGGGACTGAACATACAAGAGCTCTTTCATACCAAGACTGATCTGGGATAGCTCAGTACTGACTGGCAGCTGCAGTCCAGGGTCTCAGGCAGGGAGACATTCCTCTTAACGCCTGCCGCTGGAGAGGCTTTCATTGGAAATATCAGGCTTTGACCTTGGAAGTTTCTGCACGAGAAGCATGTGCTTTTTCACTGAGTCACTGAACTCCAAATCCATGTGACTTTCTCCACTGACTTCAAGCGCTTCAGCCATTGTCTCCAAGCCTCACTCACAAGCCCCTTCACCTTTTGCATAGATGGAAGGTGCAATTCTTGAGGAGTCAAATTCTGCAGCAAATTCTGCACTGTATAAGTAGTCACCATGTGACGTACCACTGTCCTAACAACTCAGTAGGAAGGAAGGTAACCAAGGAAGAAAACCCATTTTAAAGTGCAATTAAGAAGTTTTAATATTTAGAAAATATGAATATATATATATAAATATACAAAAGTTCTCATTGGCTAGTTTTGTTTTTCTGTAAAGCACCACAAATCCCACAGTCAATTGTGTCCATGTTACCCCACATAACCCCCAGTAAGCACCAATTATTCCCCAGTAGCCTGGCTAAGCCCCAAAGGGGCTTCGGTAGCACCAAGTATCAGAAGCCTCATTTAGCACCAAAAAGCAATCCAAGAACCCAACCAAACACACACGCACACTTTCTGGTGCTTTCTTGATATTCATTGCCAAGTAGGTGTTTCTCAGCAGAAGCATTTGAGAACTCTGCGAAAACTGGAAAGCAGGCGAAGGCTCAAAGAGTTCAGAGCTCAGGTCTGGAAGTTATTCAGTGCTAGAAATTCCTGTTGTTCCCTAGAGAGACACAGGGACGCCACACATTGTAAATATACAACATCTGGTTTTCCAGCCTGTGCCTTGCAGAGGAGGAATTCAGTCAGTCCCAAATTTTCCTGTCTGAATCAGCAAAAGGCTTCTTCAGGGCTCCCCTCTATGTAACCCTGCTCTGCAGGGCTACCTGGAGGCTCCAGTAAAAATGCACATTCTGCGTGGTCTCCAAAACTTACCTAGGGACACCTCAGCTACGGCAGGGTAGCTGTGGTGGATCTTTTCCTGCCTCTTGTCTTAACAGACTTGCAGTGCAATCCTAAACTTAGTTATGCTCTTCTAAGCCTATTGCCTTCAATGGACTCACAAAGAGTCTGTTTGGGACTGCACTGTTCTCCACATGGGAGAGGAAGTTTGCCAACAGAAGTTGCTTTTAAACAGAGTACAGTTAACATACCAACTCTTGGCATTCATGTAGCACATTAAGAGTCTTCATAGAAATACAGTAATCCTGACAACAACCCTCTGAGGTAGGTCAGCATTATTACCCCCATTTTGTAGATGGGGCAGGGGAAGGCCACAGGTAAGACAGAATGGCTCACCAGCAGTATGCTACCTTCGTGTCCCCTGAAGTGACTCTGGCTCACTGTGCTGTTTGGATGAGGAAGGAACCCTGGCTTATTACCGTGTGGACAAGAATGGCTCTTTGGGTAGATAGATATAACCCACCAGCTTCATCCCTATTTCCTGCGTGGATTCTCAGAAGCTAGACAGTATGCCTGATAGGTACCTGAAATGTCCATTGCATCCTGGGAATGAATACCGGAGCCCTTCTATCGTCCCTCTCTCCGTATGGATTTATTCTATGGGTTGAATCCAGACTAAACTGGCAATTTCTACCAATTCCCCCTTCTTGCTGCAGACTCCACTCATGTCATTCCTTGGGCTCCCCTGTCCCCCAGGAGCAGCATTTAGTGGAGGTCTATGGGCTGCAGTGTGTGTGTGTGTGGGGGGGAGGCATAAAAGTTCCATTCCACTGCCGGGAAATTTAGTCTAGGATCTAACCTCACCTCAAGACAAAAATGAAGTGAGGCCATGGGAAAACTGTGACTGGATTCTCCCCCCCCCCCCCCCATTTTCTCCCTGTTGAGGAAACTGCAGCTTCATGGTGTGCATATCAAGACTAGGCTTTAGATTTTGAAAATGGCACAGAGAAAAGGGTTAAACCCTCCCAGCACTGTAATGCTAAACAGACTCCCCTCTTTAGGGGAGGCTGCTTTTGAAAAATCACACACACCAGAGCTCCAGTAACAGATCATCTGCTCCCTTGTCTAGCTTGATGCTAAAAAGAAGGGCTGGAGGGGAAGGGTTTGCACTGTTTGACCCATTCCTGGAATTTGGCCTGTTTCTCATAGGGAGGCAAGGCCAAATCAAGGGTAGATCAGTACAGAGCCACGGCCTGTCTCCGCATGTGCAAATGATCCTGTATTCCCATGCTGAGCAGAGACTGATACACATGATTGTATCACTCCTTTGCTTACATTTCCCTGCATTTTTGGCACAAGTTTTGAACTGGAATTGGAACTTGTCAGCTACCAAGTTCCTCAGACACAGGCTGCAATCCAGCGCACAGTGACGCAAGATGGTGTACCAGTGATTCCGTGCACAACGTGTGTGCTGGATCCTAGCCTTAAAGTGAACAGCTTTCAGAACTGTTCTAGATCTCAATCTTGCCAATAGTAACGGATCTTGAAGCTGGTTCAGCGGCTAAATAGGATGAGGCTCAGGTCCCTTCCAGCTCCTCTTTATCCCTGTGATAATGCAAGTTGGACCAGGTGGGTTTTTCACCTATTTGCTAACGGAAGCAAATTCTAATAATGACAACTTTAAACTGTTATTAGTTCATGGAGGATGGGCCTATCCCCCACACAGAGATTGGCAAACTCAACTTTGATTGGATTGGACAAGATGAGGCCTGCTCGACTCATGACCCGCCGTGTATGGCAGCCCAGCAGGGTCTGGATAAACTGGTTTGTGCTGCAAAAACAGATGATTGTCAAGCACCTTGCAGGCAGTGGAGCTGTTATGTGGCTTGGAAATTTTGTGAAGATTTAACTTGCTTTAGACAGCTCAACTCAACAAGTAAAACTTTCTTGCCTTTGCGCAAACAAGAATGTTACTGATTAGGAAATTATCACTGGAACACCTGTGTGTCAACCCTGAAAGGAAGGCAAAGCCTGAGAGACAGCAGGTGAGAAGGATTTGGGTAACCTGGGGACTCTCACTGTTAACTTCAGGGTCTCCTCCAAAGTGAGCAGGGTTACAAAGGTCAGCAGGAGGTGAGCAGGAAATTCTTCCTTGAACAAATGACACCTTTCTGTCCAGAAAAGTAGCATCCACTTTTCTCAGCACCACATTCTCTATGGCTGTCTCCCGAACGCCCGGATCCCTCCAGTTCTTCCGTGTGTGTTTTGCAGCAGTTGCAGGCAGTGAAGAGAATGCACGGGAAGCAGAAGAAGTTCTTAGAAGGAAAGGAGTTACTCAAGGCTGGGCTTGATCAGGTAGCCGCTGAAGGTGATGTAGATGTCTATGTCGTCGCTGTAGATGGCGTTGTCACGCTCTCGCTTGTAGAGGCGCACCCAGACCTCGTCATTCTCCCGCAGCTCCAGCATCAGGCTCTGGCTCTGCATGATGCTGCGGTCGCTGGGCTGGGCATAGAGGATGACCTCTTCCTGGTCGTTCCTCATGACGTGCATGTAGGTCTCCTTGAAATTCCAGGTGTGGACATTGAGGCTGAAAAAGTAGAGGCCGGCCACGTAGCAGTAGAACTTGCCCTTAAACATGTCGAAGTGGCTATAGAGATTCACAAAGACGGTGTCAAAGATCAAGGCCTGGTACCCCTCGTTGCTGTGGAGGGCCTTCTTACGGCCTACCGAGAAAGCAGCATACTGGTGCTTACAAGGATCCCCTGGGGCACCCATCTGTCCCTTGCTCCCCTTCGGGCCCTGAGCTCCCCGTTCACCAGGGGGTCCTTCTTTGCCCCATTTCCCAGGAATTCCAGGCTCTCCTTGATCTCCTTTGTCTCCTGTGAAGAGAGGGAAAAGAGGGACTGTGAGCAGAATCTGAGGCTAACAATAAGCTTGTGGGTGGCCCAGAAACCCTGCCCCACAGCGTGCTTACATGCATAAGCAGCTTGCTTGGCAGCCATGATAAAAGGCCGCTGCAGCCGCTGGCAGAGTGCTTGGGGAGGGGGAGCAGAATGCAAGACAGGGCCTTATAGTTTTATAGCTTTGGAAAAAGTGCAGAAAAGGACAACTCAAATGATAAAAGGGTTGGAACACTTTCCCTATGAGGAAAGGTTAAGGCGCTTAGGGCTCTTTAGCTTAGAGAAACGACGACTGAGGGGTGACATGATTGAGGTTTATAAGATTATGCATGGGAAAGAACAGGTTGAGAAAGAGGTACTTTTCTCCCTTTCTCACAATACAAGAACTCGTGGGCACTCCATGAAACTGCTGAGTGGTCGGGTTAGAACAGATAAAAGGAAATACTTCTTCACCCAAAGAGTGATTAACACTTGGAATTCACTGCCACAGGAAGTGGTGGCGGCTACAAGCATGGACGGCTTCAAAAGGGAATTAGATAAGCATATGGAGCAGAGGTCCATCAGTGGCTATTAGCCACAAGGTATAGATAGGGACTCTGGGGCAAGTGATGCTCTGTCATCTTGGTGCTTGGGGGGGGCTCAACAGTGGGAGGGCTTCTAATGTCCTGGCCCCACTGGTGGACCTCCTGATGGCACTGGTATTTCTGGCCACTGTGTGATACAGAGTGTTGGACTGGATGGGCCTTTGGCCTGATCCAACATTGGCGTCTCTTATGTTATGTTAGGGGTTTGGATGCAGCAGAGCGTTTCCGTAGACTGAAGGATTTCTGCCCATGGAATACGACCTTTCTTGCCTCCCGCATTTCTGCTGCTGCTCAAAATACTCTCCCAAATGCTGCTCCTGGGAAACTGGGGACCTCCAGGGACAGCGTTCTAGGGAGTCCTTTGAGCTACAGCAGGAGAGGAGAGGCAAGAAAGTCCCACTCCATGGGGCAGAAACTTTTCATCTCCAGAAACAGTTCCATGGGATCCAAGCCAGGGGCACTAGGCAGCAGCCACAGCAACTCTGGCCCAGGTTAAATACTTGAAAACATCAAGGAGAAGCACAAACAGAACAGAGAAAGCGCAAGGAAGGAGAAACCCACAAAGAGAGGAAGCAGCGCCCAATGAAAGTGTAACAAGAGCGGTCAAATTGTGGCTTTTGTGCAGCTAGTGATTCTTCCATAGGCCCACAAACTTTGCAGCTCTCACATCCCTCAGGCACCTTTACTCCCCCCCCCCCCATTTCTTTTCTTAGGTATTTCTACCCCCACACTGGGGTGAGGTGTGGGGAAGGGCAGGCAAGGGTAAATGCGCACTTACCCTTCAGAATGGTGAGGTTGATATACGGACGGACCTCTGGCATCACATAGGGTACAGAGCGAGGGCTGTTTGTGCCAGGACTGGTCTCCGAGGAGCCTGGGGCATCCAGGGAGTCACAGCAACGGCGGCAGCCGCTCAGGGTAGTTGTGAACTGTGGGGGGCTCGACTCATCCCTGGGAGCCCCAAACACCACCAGTGGGAACACAAGGAAAGCCAAATGGACTCTCCTTTGCATGGTTTCCATAGTGACCTGGAAGAGAGGAAAAGGAGAAGGTGAGGAGAAAGGGTCAGATGCTAGGCCATGAAGCTCTGTGGCTGTACAGCAATCTTCGGCTGCATCCACCTAGCAATGATTCCTCACTGGGCATTCACTGCTGCTGTGAATACAGAGGCACTTGTAGCAGAAAGGAGCCGCCACACAAGGATATTCTCTGTGCTTTCCCCGGTATCCCCTTGGGCCTGCCATCCCCTGCCCCCCCCAAAGGGCTTTTGCCAGCTTAAAAAAACAAACACCTGATTGTAGCTGTATTACTGTAGTGTTACTTATAACAATATAGAAAGTACTGTTTTTTTTTAAAGCACTACCTGGATCAGTATGTGTGAGGCGGGAATGGTGGGTGTGAGGGCGCGGGGATTGTTTTGTTTTATGTTCAGAGATGGCTTGCCACTGCCTGCCTCTGTAGCGACCCTGGTATTGCTTGGCGGCCTCCCATCCAAATACTAACCAGGGCCAACTCTGCTTCAGTTATGAGATCTGATGAGATCAGGCTAGCCTGGGCTAACCAGATCAGTCAGGGGATACTGAGGGGAAATGGCCCTGGTGTTGTGGACAAGCCTACTTTGACTATGATCTTTCTAGAAAAATTGTATCAAAGCAGGTTTGGCAAAAAACACAGTGAAGCAAGGAAAAGCCCAGGAGATGGACAATTCCACGACAATGTTGTGTGGATGCTCCAAAACACACTCCAGTGGGGGGTGGGGAATGGTCCAAGTGTTTATGTGGGGAAAAACCTTGGAAACCAAGAGAGTCAAACGTGGGCAGAAGGCAGCGAGACAGAATTCTCTCCACAGAGGTGCTCAAATGGCAACTTCATGCTTCAAAATGCCTTTCATTATAAAGAGCGACACTGTTGGGATTTTATGAGTATGTGTAAAGTGCTTGTAGAATAGGGACTTCTATTTCCAATGACAGCAGTGGCACTTTAGTAATATTAGTTCTATGATGGTCGGGAAATGGCTAGGATCTATTACTTTAAAGAACTTTACAACCAGCAACAGGGATCATGCTTCTGAATTCTGTACCTTATACGTTCATATCTTTTGTTTACATCTGCCAGTCTAATCTCTTTGTATGTACTCTTTCTCCTCCCTCCTTCTCTTTTCCCTCCTCAAAATCCAAACGATACCCTCCTCCAACACACAAGTGAATACTGGGCCCAATCCAGTAGCAAGTTCTGCACCAGACCCATTGCAAATAATGGGGCCTGCACAAGGGCACTGCTCTGATTAACTTAAAGAAATAGTTGAGCAGGAAAATTTCCAGAGGATTGTGGCCTACACAGATCATCTCCCTCAGTCTTCCACTTATGGCACTTCAGTGATGCCAAAAATCTACCACCTAAGAAGAAGGTGGCCTCACTCAGGAGGGGACTGTCCTCAGGTCGCAAACAGCTCAAGATTAGCACTCTACACGATCCTCCTTGGGGGCGTGCCAGGTAAACAGAATGTGTGTGACAGATATAAAATCACTTATTATTTCTTCTCCACCCGCTGGTAGGAAACGGGTATAGCAGTCATTATAGTAACTTCTGCCCCTAAGGAGAGGTTTATATGAGGCTGAATTAATCCCTGCTTTTGGAGGCCAGATCCCCCCAATTTTTGAGGTGGATATTAGGGGTGGGGGGGGGGGGGCGGCATGCATCAGCAAGTAGGGAAGCCAGTCTCCTGGTGGGAAAAACACACAAGCAAACCCTGTGACATGAACACCATTAATAAGAGCTTTTGGGGAAGTATCAGTTCTTCCCTAGCATTTAACCATGAGCCATTAAATCTTTCAAATAACAATGCTGAACAGGACTTTCACTGTGTAGGCTAACAGAGCAATCCTAACCCCGTCAAACCCACCCACCCTGGTTTTGGAAAGCTGTGATTCTGTTTAGGATTGCACTGTTAATAGCCTACATTTTTAATTCCAAATTAGAAGTGCAGTTTAGCAACCCAAGTAACGTCCATGTAGCCTGACGGCACAACCCCGAAGCCAGATGCGTTCATGGGACAACCTGCCTTAGTTTTATGGTCTGTATAATGGGACAATAATAATAATCAGAAGGGGGGAAATCTCACATGCCAAAACCCAGCGTTCACAGAAAGAGTCTCGTCGCTTGAGTGAGCAAATAAACTCCACGTTGAATTCTGCAGCCCCCCCCCCCCTTTCTGGAAGGGGACCACTGTTTTAGCATTCAGCACACGACGTACCTACCTCCAGGCAGCTTCTGCGGGTTCTCTAACAGGAGCTAACTTCTGCCCTCGGATGAAGCTGCGCCCTTCCGCCTGACAACAAAAATCCCCACATCCCCCCTTGGAAGTCTGCAGAGTGCTTTGAAGGCAAAATCTGCGAACTTTGCAGAAAGCGGTGGAGGAGAAAGGAAGGGGAGCCGCGAAGGCATGTGCATTTGGTTAATTACGCCTCGGCTCGAGTTTGGAGGCTTCGAAACGAAGGGGGGGGGGGAGGAGGCTGCAACAGAAGCGGAGAAGGGGGCCACTCTGGCCGAGGCTCCTCTGTCCCATTCCCACCCCCTGAGCCATGTGGCCCATCGGGCTCACCCTAGAGGAGATGCGCCGCTTTCCAGATCCTTTGCAGCTCTTCTGCTGGCTGGTCAAGCCCTTCCGCGCACTGGATAACCTCTGCTGGCAAAGCCAACCTGGAGTCCCATTGCGTTAATAGCTTGCTGTTGGCAAAGACGCCTCAAACCGCCGGCTCTGGTGCCGAGCCCGGCTGAGCCTCTCCCCTCCCTCCTTTCTCTCCCTCCCGTCCCCTTTCTGAGTTTGGGATCTGCAGGGAGTGTTGGGTTTCTGCCGCGTTAACTCTTTCCTCCGCAAAGGAAAACACTGCATGGATTTCAAAGGCCTGCGACTCCGAATCCCTTTCCCTCATTCAAAGCGTTGCCTCTCTTTCGCCCGCCCCGATCCCGTGCAAAAGCGCGCCCTCGTTACACACGCGCAGGAGAATGAGGCGGCAGGCTCCTGCAGCGGTGGAACAGATTGCACCGCTTGAAAGTTGCGAGTGGCGGAATGCATGTTCAAAACCAGCACAGCTAACAGAGAAAGGAGGATGGAATCTTTCTTCTAGCTATGTAAATATTTGGTTTGCGTGGCATGTTTTTTATGTGAAGGAACAGTAAAATCTGGAATTGGGTACTTGCACTCTATAGCATCAGGTTTTTGCATTTCCCACTTGACGCTCTTGCTTGCAAACCAAGATTTCCAAGCTAAAACTTGTGGAGTTCAGGTCCTCTGTGAAGACTGGGGTGTAGAGGCCTAGATCCCTAGTCAGTAACTGGAGGGCCAATTTAGTGCCATGTCTAGGAATACATCACCAGTGTAGTATTCTATGAACACTTATGCATGCTTCAGATGTACATGCACTTTGTACGTGAGGCTGAAGGTGCTTCCCAGTTCTTTCCCACCTCCTAGTTCCTAATTCTGGAAACCTACAAACAAATATTGAGGATAATTTAAAAGCACTGCACCCTAAAATAAGGTTTGGACCACCACCTGTCATGCACCCCCAACATTCAGGGGACTCTGCCCTCGAAATGGGCCTCTGCTGTTTCCTGGTCAAAAGCTGTTATGTATTGACTGGTATGCATGAACTGCTATGCGAATCACCTAACTGAGATACCATGTTAAGCTTCGCCCTGGGCTAGGATCCTAATGTAACCAATAGGAGCCCTAGCCCAGAATGTGTCTGCCAATCAGCTTGCAAAGCGGGATCGCTCCTGATTGGACGTTATCTCTTCAACCTCATAGGTTGTATTACTGTACAGTGGGTGTGGCTACATTAGCCGGGAATGTTTAAATACAGAGCAGCCAGTGTATATTTTGACTACTGATGGGTTCTGGCTGGCGATTGTTGTACCGTGTTGGAGAAGTAACTGAGCTGAAGAATAAAAACCGCATTCTTGCTGAAATCACTCTCCGACTCTTTGTTAAGTTCGAGACCTAACAATTGGCGACGAAGGTGGGATTGTAGTGCGGGTAGGCAGCCCCGCTAGTACAGACCCCACAACGGACAACAGTGAGATCGCAGAGGCAGGCCAGCCGCAAGCAGCACCAGATCCGGTGACTTCGCTTGTGCGCATAAGGATGGCCGCGAACAGCCAGAGGTTCGAAGCGTTCGAGCCGACTACCGAAGACTGGGACGCTTACCTGTCAAGGTTTGAGTTCCATCTTGTGGCAAATGACATCTCGACGGAGGAGAAGAAGAAGGCGACCCTTCTCAGCTCGTGTGGGAAGAATGTCTTCGACATCGCCCGGTCACTGGTGGCACCAGCTGACATCAAAGCTGTATCTTTTAAAGACTTAACGGATAAGCTGAAATCACATTTCTCTCCACAGCCGTCGGAGATAGCCTGCAGGCACACTTTCTACAAGCGGGGCCAAAATCCGAACGAATCCATAGCTGAGTATGTGGCAGCTCTACGCAAGGCAGCGCGGCCTTGCAATTTCGCGAATGTGGAGGA